TATATATATATATATATATAGAGAGAGAGAGAGAGAGCGAGAGATATTTTCCTTAAACTTTGCCAGTAACGCTTGTTTATCTGTTAGCAATATGTCTCATGAACCATGCTAGGTTTTACTGAAACATGATCTTTTGTAGTGAAATCAGTTCAAGATAGTCAACACAAAAAACTCAGTTTTACAGAGATTGAGCTAATATTTGACAGAGTAGTGGCTGAGAGTCATTCACATCACACACTCAGTGTGACATCTTATGTTTATTGCATGAGAATGCACATAGCTTTATTTTTAATGTTTGACCTAAAAGGGTATTTTTTTTAAATAAAACGATTTTAGTGTAAAACTTTGGTATGAAAGGTGACAGACTGTAGGTTTTTCTTTAATGATTACAAGACTAGATGTAATATACAATTATTAGACTTTAGCTGATTAATGGCTAATCCAGATTAAACATTTTGCTCAGTTTTGGCTCAAAAATGTTTCAACTCATTATCTGAGTCTACAACATCATTCGGCTTTTTAAAAGAAAGAAGGAAGCTACTTATTACCTTTAAATGAAGGTAGTAATTAATATTAAACAAGCTCGATGTATTGCTCAACAACATATATCTTAAGACACATTTTCAACTTGGAAGAGAGTAATAATTTCACCTTCCTACTATTCGTAGTGGGTAAAAGCTTCAAACTGCAGCAAAGTGTGAGGTGTGTGTGTGTGTGTGTGTGTGTGTGTGTGTGTGTGTGTGTCTGTGTGTGTGTGTGTGTGTGTCGCTTCAGGTTTTCTGTCACCGTACACATTTCTTAATGAACAGCTCTCAGAGTGAGGGAAACCACCGGGGGCTTTCAGATCGTTTACCAAAGCTGCCTCTTACCTCTCTCCCCCAGGTGTTCACGTGTTCGGTCTCCTGGCAACTGCTCTGGTGACAGATGTCATCCAGTTAGCGACCGGTTACCACACCCCGTTTTTCCTCACCGTGTGCCAGCCCAATTACACCGCCCCCGGAGTGTCCTGTGACAACAACGCTTACGTCACACATGACATCTGCATGGGAAAAGACCAGTACGCCATATTGTCAGCCAGGTACAGTAGACTCTTAATTGCAGTGTTTTATTTGCAATAATAATGTTATATTCTTAACCTTGCATGGAAAAAAAGAGAATTTTGTTTTTTTATATGCACAGTTACTATGATGAAGAAACGATTCACTGTAATTACAAAGAAATCTAAATACTGCCACACATCCATCTTGTAGATGGCGATAAGTCATTCGAACAGATTTTCATTTTAAAATACTTGTTTAAAAATAAAACAAATGCTGTTAGCTGGTGATTTTTAAAAAATGACTCTTTGCTTAAGAAGGAAATATTTTGAATCACTTAAAACTAAAAGGCGAAAGGCCGGTGATGTTTTTGCCTGTGTCTGTGTGTGTTAGCAGTAGGGCTGCCACAAACGATTATTTAAATAATCGATTAATAACCAATTATTTATTCGATTAGTCGACTAAT